TTGAGATTTCTAATCAGCACACAGTCTTAACCTGTATTGGTCTGTTTTTATCTATGAGTAGCCATAGCCTCTGTTTAGCAGACACTTTGTGACTTTTGCCCCAAAGGCCAGAATTTTTATATTCCATCCATGCAAGAATAAACCACTGCACATGTGTAAACAAAGATCATCTGTCTTTGATGGCTGAAAAGGCTGACTCCTCACAGTGGATTATCTTTTTTATTTGAAGCAAGTAAATCAGGCTACACCTTCATCTCCTGTGGACACATCTCAGGCTTTATATCTGAGCTGGAAAACTACTCTGCTCTTGGATCCGAAAAATACTGAGTTTTGATTTTTCAAATCATATATTCAGAGACATACTTGGTAAAACCTGATGGTCACTGGATCATGATGAAATGATGCTAGAGAAGTCTACTTCACTAGGAGTTATCATCGTAAAAAATAAAAACAAGCAAATAAACAAAAAACAATTCTTAAGAGTCCCTTAGACAAAAAAAAAATTGTACACCAAAGCTCCAGAGTCAGACTCTTATCCACTCATTGTCTATCAGGGACCTGTGGTTCATTTTCTCACGTGGAACCCCTGGCATACAGGGATCACTCAGTACACTTTTGCTGGTTATCTTGTTCACCATTCATTCAAAGCCCTAGCCATTATGTAGTTTACATTCCAGAGGCAGAAGACAGATAAGTTAAATAATATTCATTCAGATAATTGATCGATGCTGTTAAGGAAATAATGTAGAGTTAGAGGTAAAAGAATCAGAGAGGATTAGATAGAAAGTTTAGGGAAGGTCTTTGTAGGGGGTAGGTGGAGGAACGTGAGTGGAAGCCACAATAAGAAAGCTACCACAGTAGTCTTGGAAAAAAAAAGAAATCTGGACTAGTATGGCAAGAGGGAAGAGAGTAAAAAGTCTGAATTAGGATGTATCTTGAAGATAGAGCTAATGGTACTTACTGATAGGCTGAACATAGAATGGGAGCTAAATAAAGGTGTGAATGATTTCCAAAGTAAACTGAAACAAAATTAATCTCTGAAGCTCACATAAATCATGGGCTGCCCTAGAGGCTGGCACATTTGGGAATGTAGTTGCCTCTAACCGGGTGGGGAAGACATTCGGGATGGATATTCACATGTCTTTTTCAGAAGTTCTGAAAAGAGGCTTTGGTCTTAAAGAGGAGAAGTATGTCACACACCTCCCCCCGTTCTCCAAAGTACTCCAGACCCAGGAAACCAGCATCTCTGCCTTTCCCTCCACAACAAGCCATCTAACTCCACGATGAAGATTAGGATGGATATTCTCAGAGGAAATTCACATTTATAGTGCCTGGACTAAAACTCACTCATCTTTGAAGTTCTGGATCTCAACATCAAACACAGGAATAGTTTTTAGCTTCAGAAATGTCACAAGCCAAACAAAGAGTTAAGGAGATTGCAACCAGTACCCTTAGACCAACCACTCCCCTTTTCAAATAGAAAACCCACAAGCATCTGGAATCACCACATAGTTCTCCTATCTGAAATGAGAAACACAACACAGGGTAATCTTTAGCTGATTAGAATGTTCATTAGGATGAGCACAAAGCTCATTAAAGTACTCCTTTAGGGGAAAAAAGCTTATTCACACAAGGTTTTAAAAACAGTATACAAATACATACATTTTATGAACATAATTTTACACTAAATCTCCATCGACTGCTTGAGAAATGTGAATTTCACTTTCATATCTTTACTAGACCTCAACTTCCCCCACCTCCCCCTCCAAGTCAACCTCAGATAGCTGACTGAATACCTTTAGGGAGATACAATCTGTGTGGGTAGAAAGAAATATTAAATAGCTTGGTTTTTCAGGAGTTTGTATCACTATCTGGTGATTTTTTAGCATATTTCTAAGTCAGTAAAATAAAAAGCATCATCTCTTAGAGTTAGAAGAATCAGATGAAGTAGTGCAGCAAGAACTTGACCTTGCAGATAGTGTATGTACAAACTTAAATTTTAACATGTAATATTTAAATTCAACAACCTTTTTGTCACCCTAACACATTCATCTATTGCTGCAGAGAATTCCTCTCGCACGTGGGTAAATTTCCAATCTCGCACTTGGTTCTCTTAAGGGCAAATGTCCCATTCCCTTCTATACCTACCAATTTGTCAGAACAACTAAGATTCAACCTTCTTCATCTCTTCCCATTCCACATTCATGTGCATTTATAACTTCAGCATACCACTGGCATTTACCACATTCTACTCAGGAAATCCAAGAAATCAAAGCTTCAAATCACTTGCCCATTCTTCAAAAATTCATTATCTCCTCTTTGTCCTATTCCTTTTCTTTATACAAGATCAAGAAAATTAACTCCAGGGAGGCCACCCCCCTTTTCTTCTTTTAGCCCCAGATTATTTCAGGCAGACTGTCCCGATTCTCAAGGGAAGGTAGTAGGTCTAGATTGGTGGGCTATGAGCCTTCCTGAGCTCCTCCCCTTAATTCTTAACCCAGCAATGTGTTAGCAGTTCCCCTATAAAGAATCTCACAGCTTGACCTCTCTGCACATTTGTAGAACACTATTTCAACTACAGAATGGAACCAGATTTTTTACTCAGGTTTTTTGCCTCAGGTACATTTATCAAAGAGCAGTGTTTTAAGGGCAGAGCTATGTCCCCAGTGTGGTGGGATAATCCTAGGTGTTCTAAACCACTGGCGGCTACTCCAACGGCCCAAGAGTTCCTAGGTCTTAGCCCAGTTATCCAAGACAAACACTTAAAGCAACTTCCAATCACACCTTACCCAATCAACAATCTTCCTAAGGGAGCAGTCTGACTGGCAGCCCCAGTCACATGAAGTGCACATGCTTGCTCATTACTGGAGAAGGCATGCAAGTCTCACCCCAATCTTCGACCTAAGAGCCTACCTCCCACACGTTCACCTATCCCTACTATCACCACACGTTTACCTTTCAAGGTTACAAGCCATACAGAAGGGTACAGTCACTGACCAAACCAGCTATTATCTGCTTGTCTCTACTCAATTTCTTCTTAATCTTGGCTGCATGTTTTAAATTGCCCAGGGAGCTTTGGAAAAGTGATGCTTGGGTTCTAATCCTAGAGATTTTAATGTTACTGCTGTGTGTCTGGCGGGATGGGGTGGTGGCTACCGGGATTAAAAAAGCAAAACAAACCTCAGCTTCTTTTAGTTTTTATGTTATTTAACTTTTGGGGGGGGGGGTAATTAGGTTTACTTATTTTTGAAGGAGATACTGGGGAATGAACCCAAGACCTTGTGTATGCTAAGCATGCACTCTACCACTTGAGCTATGTCCTCCTCCCTTACTTTTAAGATAGAATTTGCAAGTCTGCTGTTGTGCATGAAAAACTATTTTCACACTAACCTGTTTGCTGTGGGTTGAACTATCATCATCTCCCACTACTTCTAATTCCCTGTACCTCAGAACATGTCCTTATTTGGAAACAGGGTCAGTATTAAGGTAAAATGTGGTCACACTGTGTGGTGGGCCCTTAATCCAACATGACTCATGCCCTTATTTAAAAAAAAAAAGCCATGTGAAGAGATAGAGGCACAAAGAGCATGCCAAGGGAAGACAGAGGCAGAGAAGGGAGTGACACATTAGTAAGTCAAGGGACACCAAAGATTTCCAACAAACCACCAGAAGCTAGGAGAGGCAAGGGATAGTCTTCAGAACTCTTGAGACAATACATTTCTGTTGCTTATGCCACCCAGTTTGTGGTATTTCGTTATGGCTGCCCTAAAAAATGAAACCACCATTTCACATAAATTTATTCAGTGATCTTTTAGTGTTGACACAGGTGTACCTTCCCTCCCTTCCAAGACTTCAACGTCTAATCAACACCCATCCAGGCCCATAGTTTACCACAATACTTATTGCTTTCTTCCTCACTTTCAATATGTATTTGAGACTTTATAAAAGAATGAACAGAAACAGGCACAGTGCTTATTCTCATGGAATTTAGTCTAGTGGTAAAGAATCAAAAGAATGATCCAAATAAATACAAAGTTGCAACTGGGTTTTGCATATAAGGAAGCTGTAACTGGTACAGTGATGTCCCATGACTCGGCCCTTGTTAAGTATGTCAAGGAAAGCTGCCTTAAACTAGGATCTGAAGAATGAGTTAGAATTAGTGAAAAAAAAAAAAAAAGAATTATCCACATGATGTTCTAAAAGAAAATTTTGAGAATGCTAAATACTCAATTAAAAATCTATCCTTAAAAAAAAAAAAAACAGCAGGCAAATACCTTCCCAGACCCTCATGAGTCAACAGAGCAATTTTCTTCTATTTATCGTCTGCTATCTTTTACTTGGCCCATCCTAAAGTACACAGCGTCCACGATGCACAGAGTATGCCTGCAGAAAAGCGAATAAGTAATGTTCTTCCTCCACTTCCTGTAATGAGCTTGTGTTTTTAGGAAATTTGAATTGAATTGAGCCGCTGTCCTGTGTAGTCATGCTGACACAGTAGGTTCCTATGCAAAAGGATTCGAAACAGAGCTTGCTTTTTTTCAATATGATGATCCAGATTCAGTTCCTTACCCTTTTTACTTATTAGATCCTTCACAGTTATGTGACCTTAGGAAAATTAAGTCACCTCTGAGCCTCAGTTTCTACATTTGAGTAATAAAAATTAATACATATTCATAGGTTGTTAAAAATATGAAGAGAGATACAGTATGATAAACCTTTCACTAAAAGTCCCACTGATAAATATTTGGCTGCCTTTTCAGCAATGACCAAGCAAGGCTGTAGAAAAAAATTTTCAGTGGATTATCAAACAGAGAAAGACGAAGGCAAATACAAGACACCATTATAATATTACCTAATATTGTTTTTCAAAGCACTATTCAGTGCTTTTAAGGAATCTAATTTTCCTCATAAGAAGTAGAATACTTGAAATAATTTATTACAAGAAATACTCACATTTTCTGCAACACCTCCTCCCCACCCAGATAAAATATCCAGGGAAATTAAGCTGTTCTCTACTTAGAATGATGTTAGAAGTCTTCAAACAGTCACTATAATAATATTCTCAAATCTAAAGTCATGATTATACCTAATTCTGTTTTCAGAAATCTCTAGAGTCCTTAACCTTGTCCTAAGGACCCCAGATTATATTTCTTTTTCTAATTCCCCAATCTGAAGCTGCACAGGCATCTGCTGTCCTAGTTGGTGTGGGTTCCTTCAGTTATTATCATTTGTGATTCGGCTTAAATGTAACCTCTTCATGAGATGGGTGCTGACAAAGCCAGATGAATGCAAAAGCTCTGGGGTGTTGAGCTGAGTTCCAACTCCCAAGTGCTAAAAATATTTTATTAGACTATCTTGTAAAATAATATATAGACATGCTTGTAACATTTCTGCCTCCTGTGATCTTAGATTTCACACCAAAGAAGACTGAGGGCTAACAGTCCCATTACAAGAGGAAACATGTGGGAGGCAGATGCTCAGAGAGTCTGAATTCATGCCTCCATTTGGGACACAAAGAGAAAATATAGGCCTGAGAGCTCCTTGGAAGGTAAGGCCAGAGAAATTATAGATGAGGGATCTCTTTGTCACATCATAGAAGGACACTTGCCCATACTCATAGTTCAGGAAAACTCCAACACTGTGCACTCGCTCTCTCAAGGAGATCCTTCTTAAAGGGGGAAAGGCCCAGAAGATATAATCGGTTCCCATCATGGTTCCCATGAGTAGGACTTTATCCCTGGAATCGTTTCTGTAGGCAGAACCTTCGTATATACCCAACTGCCACTGCGTTGCCTTTTCCACATCCACCTCCCAGTAGTGCCTCCCTGAGGTGAAGCTCTCCACACCCAACACGGTGGCGCTGAAGTCAAATCTCTCTGGGTGACCAGGCGTGTCCTGCTGGACATTTCTGAGTCTTACGCTTCTTAGATCCTCGGATAAGACCAGACAGGGATGAGCTGTTCTGTGGTCCAAAGTGATAGGTCCTGCAGGGAGAAGGAAATTTAGTAAACCTGGGGGTTTGTCAGTGCTAGAGACTGATGATTTCTAACTTTCAGGGGCTGCCCAATGAGTGGGCATGAGTCTCAGGCACAGATATGGCAGAGGCAATCTAGGAGAGTCCAGGTAAAGGAAACTCTAAGATGTTTCAATAAATGGACATCATAGAGGAACAAAGTCAGTAAGATAATGGAAGGAGATGAAATTCATCTGAGCAAGAACAAAACAAAAAAAAGAACTATGGAGAGCTTTAGAAGTACCTCTGAAACCAGAAAGGAATCTTGCCAGGCTGTAAAAGTAGCCTGATACCCAGACCTAGCCCACTATCACCTGGTACCCAACTCCAGTCCCCAAAGAGCTTCTCCAAGCCTGGAACAGCCAGAAGTACTGACTCTCCTAATAGGGCAACTGATTCACGGCTCTTCCCTGTGGCTGAATTGCTCTCCTCATCTTAAATATCACCAGGGTGTGATATAAATACCTAGAAATTGTTGCCAGCGGGCCCCTGGCAACAATTGAGTAAATCAAAAGAGAACATATTACAGGCCAGAAAACCTGTGAGAATCTTCCAGAAAAATCAAGCTGAGAACAAGAAAACTCACTGTGATTTCTTACACTTCAAAGTAGTACTTGCTTTCATTCAAGTATAAGAATAGAAGGAGAACTTCAACTTGATGAAAAGCAACTATGGAAAACCTACAGCTAACATCAGACTTAACGGTGAAGGACAGTGCCTTCTTTTTCCCTAAGACCAGGAAGGAAGCAGATGATTCTCACCAGTCTTATTCACGATCATACTGGAGGCCCTAGTCAGCGCAATAAGGTAAACAAACAAACAAATAACCAAAAATACACAGAAAAGGCTTACAGATTGGAAAAGAAATAAAACTGTCTACATTTATAGATTACTTGACTATCTTCATAGAGAATCTCCCCAAAATCTCTAAGAAAGTCACTAGATTTAATAAATCAGTTTAGCATAGTTGTAAGATACAATGTCAATATACACAAATGAATAGTTCTATATACTAACAAAAACTAGAAATGAATAATTTCAATTATATATTTAATTCCATTAATAGCACTAAAAAATAAAATACTTAGTAATCTGTCTAATTAAATATGTATATTTGCTGAAAACTACAAAATACTGTTGAGAGAAATCGAAGACCTAAATAAATGGAGATAAATTACCTTATCCCCAAACTGTTCTATAGATTCCATGTAATCTATAAAATCCAATTAAAAACCCTAGCAGTTTTTTGTAGAAGCCAACAAGCTCATTTAAACATTAATGTGAAGAAGGATCTAGAGTAGCCAAAATTATGTTGAAAAGAACAAATCTAGAAAACTCACAGTGCCCAATTTTAAGGCTTTCTATAACCAATCAAGCCAGTGTGGCATTAGCAAAAGAATAGAAGACAATGATCAATGGAATTATTAGACAATTGGATCAATGGATCTATTAGATATAAATCTGCTCATATGTACCAACTGATTTTCAACAAATAATGTTGGAACGACTGAATATATACATGTACAAAAAAAGGAGGGAGTTGTACCATACCTTGTATTATATGTAAATATGGCTAAATGGCTAATAGACCTGAATGCAAACACTAAAACTGAGGGGAGGGTGTAGATCAGTGGTAGAGTGCATGCCTAGCATGCACAAGGTCCTTGGTTCAAAACCCAGTACCCCTATCAAAAAAAAACCAAAAAACAGGTAAACTTAATTACCTCCCCCTGCAAGAAACAAACAAAAAACCCCAAAAAACAAAACTAAAACTGTGAAACTGCTAGAAGGAAATCTTTGTTGGGGTAAAAAAAATATTTCTTAGGACACAAAAAGCTAAAATCATAGAAGAAAAAAAATATTAAGCTGATCTTCAAAATCTAAAACTTCTGGCACTATTAGGTAAATGAAACTATAAACCACATGAGAAATATTTGCAGATATAGTCTTTTTAAATCCTTTAGCTATGTGGAATTTACTTTCATTTATTTCTCAAATATAAAAATAAAGTGCCTTGTGATCATGGATGCGTGTCAACTTACTTTGCAGCACTTTTAGCATTTTGCTCATTCCTGTTATTTGGCATAAATTCAGGTCTGTGATTTGGGCAGGCTCTAAACACTGAAGCAGTAGTGACTCACTCCTATTAAAGACAAAACAATCTCCGTTATCTGTGCAGACCCCAGGCTCCTTTATCCGGAGGGTGGATCTCATTGCATGGCCTCGCTAACCTCACCCCGACATCTCTACCCATGTGCTCACATATCAGACTGTGAATCTGACCCAAATGTTTTCAAAATGAGTATCTTACCTTTCCAAAGCACATCTTGCATTCTATGGGGTGAAAAAAGAGAGATATAAAATATTACTGGGTATTTGAGCCAAGGCTTTTGTGAATTGTGCCCATGAAAATATCTTCTCTTATAATAATAAAACTCTATTTCCATGTAATTTCTTCAGCATCATGGTGCTAAATCTCAGATACCAAATTTCAACACTGAATAGGAAAAGTCAAAACAACGCTTGAAATCATTGCTATATTCCCAAGCGAAGTATCTTCTGTTCTTCACATTCAGAATGCTCATCATTCAAATTCTGCCCATCTATTTGCTTTCTATACCGAGGGTGGCAAGAACCGAGCCTGATAATCTGGGGATGGTGACTGGAACCAGGTCAGGAACTGAATATAACTAGGTCACACCTACCTGTACTTTCTGGAACTAGGCTTGGCTCTAGAACAGAACCTAAGGGCTCTCTGCGCAGGGGCTTTTCAAATAAGAATACTCACACTGCAAATATGGGCCTGGCAGAAGGATACTGGCAGAGTCTTTAAAAGATGAAAATTTTCTTATTGAAATGGTAATACATGTTACTGCCCAAATTTAAAATACATAACACTATACAAATAAGTCGCATCCATGTTTCCCAAGGTTACCGCTGATCACACGGTTTGTGTTTAATTTGCCTGAATTTTTCTCTGAATGTTAATGAGCATATATGTTTATATGTATTTTATAAATAGCAGAAAGTGTTTTGGCATGTTTTTTCCATTAAGGAGATATCTTAAAGATAATCTTTCAGTGTGTATAGAGCTGCTTCATTCTTTTTTTATGGCTGCAGAATATTCTACTGTATGGATACATTGTAATTTGACTAACCAGTTATTTATCCTATTAATAAGGAACATCTCAATTCAAACTTACTATGACAGTTTTAAGGTGAGAATTCACATCATGAGGCAGCTCTACACATACTATGATTTTATGATGAGGCAGTGCTTTTGGTAGCCTTCGTGTATGAGTGGAGATCACTGGATCCTGTGTTCTAGAACTGACCCTGCATGAGTACTGCCCACTTCTCAATTCTCAAGAACTGTGGTGAAGGTTGTTTCCACAATCTTACCTGCAGCAACGCTGAGGCGGATTGCCCACACTTCTTCTCTAACTCTGCGATGATCTTTTGGAGGCTGCAGGTATGTTCAGACAGCCTGACTTCACTCTCCTTCAGTTTACTCACGTTCTCTCTCCCCAGATTGTTCAGTCTCTGCAGAAGCATCTCCTGATTACCATTCAGCAATTTCTCTTATTTGCTAATTCAACTATCTCTTTAAAAACCTGCTGTACTGCCTGCCACCTCAGTAACAGACACAATTAGATAAGGCCAGGATATCCCTCTGTGTCACTCGAGACACCTTAATAGAAACCTGATTCTCTGACACAATATATTCATGTCAACAATGGATAGTATCCATATAGTCTACTTAATCAGTTCACAACCTGGACTCAAAACCAGTCACCTTCTCTTTTTCTTTTTTTGCTATGCAGTTTTGTTCTGGCACTTTTCTATTTCCTTCATTCAATTAAAACTAAGACTTACCATAATTTAATTAAAGTTAAATTTAATCAATAAGAATTAATCAAGCCACTGATACCAGTTTCCTTTTTGTTTGGCAAAGATGCTCCACTTAGGCACATAAGCACCTGTTCATTTTTTTCCCCTTAAAGAACACAAACAATGTCATATTATACTGCTGATCTGACAACTTGCTTTTTTCTTAATAAATACACTCTTGGAGAGCATTCCTTATCCATACATATAAAGCCATCTTATCTTCCCTAAATGAAGAGCATTCCACTGTATGTCCATAATACAATGTATTTCATGAATCCCATATTAATAACCTGGATACAGGCTGTATCTAATCTCTTTTGTTATCAACAAATGTTATAGTAATAATAATGCCTAATACTTATCAAGTGCATAATATGTTCCATTGTTACTTAAAGAGCTTTGTGTAGATAATCACATCCAATCCTCAAAACAATATTAAGAACTAAGGGCCATTAATATCCCCATTTTACAGGTAAGAAAACCAAGTCAGAGGTTAAGGAACATGTCTAAGGGACACTTAGAGGCTAGTAAATTGCAGAATCCAGAAAGGAATCTCAATCTGGCTTCAAAGACTACCTCTAACCCCTGGCTATATACTGAAGAAAACTTTATAACATTCCCTCATCTATATGTCTTTTTATATGAATGTTAAGTATATCTGCAAGATAAATTCTCAGAAAGAGAATT